AGATCAGGTGGCTACCAATCTGTCGTATATGAGACATAATACTTTTTGCAATGCGAATAAGCCTGGGAGGTGGTTGGCTTATCAGTTACGAAAGAAACAGAAAGCTAGAATTATAGAGAAAGTAAAATATAAAGGTACTGAGGTTTTTCAGCAAGATTTGATTAAAAAAAGCTTTTTGGACTTTTACACAAAATTATATTCAAGTGATAATATAAGGGGTTTGGATATAGATAAATATTTACAATCAGTACATTTTCCTAGACTTTCAGAGGAACAACAAAATGGGATGAATAGTTTAATTACTGTGGAGGAAATTGGCTTAGCTATTAAGCAGTTAAAGGTTGGAAAGTCTCCTGGAACAGATGGACTGACTTCTAGGTATTATAAGATTTTATCTGAAGAAATGATAGAGCCACTAAAGGAACTCTTTAATAGTATTTTGTTGGGTATGCAAGTTCCTCCTTCTTGGAAAAGAGCTTTTATATCACTGATTCCGAAGGAAGATCAGGATCTTACAGAGCCTAAGAATTATAGGCCAATTTCATTATTGAATGTTGATTATAAGATCTTTACAAAAATTTTGGCAAATAGATTAATGCAGGTTATGAAAGACTTGATTCATAGTGATCAAGCAGGATTTATAACAGGGAGATATATGAAACATAATGTTAGACAAATTATTAACTTAATTGAGTACTTGGATAAGAATAATCAGATTCCTGTGGCTTTTATCTTTTTGGACGCTGAAAAAGCTTTTGATCAATTGGACTGGCAATTTTTATTTTCTTTGGTAGAGAAAATGAATTTTGGGGATAATTTTTTACATGCACTTAAAGCTATATATCAGCAGCAATCTGCACAAATTGTTGTAAATGGGGGATTGACTGAGAATTTCAATATTCAAAAAGGGACAAGACAAGGATGTCCATTATCCCCATTGTTATTTGTTTTAACATTGGAAATTTTATTGATTCAGATTCGGGAATCGAAGTTAGTTAAGGGTGTAAAGATAAGGAAGAATGAGTATAAATTGCGGGCATTTGCGGATGATTTGGTTTTAATTTTGGAACAGCCGAATCAGGCGATTGATGGTTTATTAGAACTTATAACACAGTATGGGAATGTTTCTGGTTTTAAAGTTAATAATTATAAGACTAAGATATTATCTAAGAATATGTCAGTTAAAGAAAGGGAAAGTTTGATTAAAGCCACAGGTTTTCAGATGGTAAAAAAGGTTAAATACTTGGGAGTATATCTAACTGCTTCAAATGGAAAATTGTACAAGAACAATTATGAACCACTATGGGCAAAAGTCCAAAAGGATTTAATAGATTGGAAAAAATTGCAATTGTCATTGTTGGGGAGAATTTCAGCTGTAAAAATGAATGTTCTACCAAAGTTTCTTTTTTTGTTTCAGATGATACCTATTCTTAAAAAAGAGGCAAATTTGGAGGAATGGCAAAAGGGTATCAATAATTTTATATGGGCCGGGAAGAAACCAAGGGTTAAATTTAAGATATTACAGGATGCTCGAGAAAGAGGGGGACTTAAGGCACCCAATTTGAAATTATATTATGATGCAGCCGCCCTAACTTGGTTAAGTGATTGGCTTAATTTAACAAATATGGATATTCTTTTTTTGGAAGGTTGGGATTTAATATATGGTTGGCATGCATATTTAATTTTTAATAAGAAAGTTGATCGGACTTTTAAATCACATATTTTGAGGAATGCCTTACTTCGTGTTTGGAAGAAGTATTATTATAGATTAAATTATAAAATACCTATCTGGGGGATTCCCAGACATGCAATTGAGGGAACCTCTAAGGGGACAAATTTTGATAAAATTTCATATAAAGAATTGTTAATTTGTTCTGGTTCGAATTGGCATTTGAAATCCCTAGATGTATTAAGGCAGCAAAATATTCTACAGTCATGGTTTCAATATTTACAAATAATGGATAGATGGACTGTAGACAAGAAAGAGGGAATAACACTAGAAGATAGACAATTGGTTATTCAGATTAAAAACCAAGGTCCGGCTCATATAAAAAGAATATATAATGTTTTATTAGAGTTAGATTCGGAAACAGAATTGGTTAAAGATTGTATGATTAAATGGGCTCAGAATATACAGGAGCCGATCTCATTGGATTTATGGGAGATAATTTGGATAAGAAATGTTAAATTTACACAAGCTCAAAATTTGAGAGAAAATTTTTATAAAATGTTTTATAGATGGCATTTAGATCCTAAAAAATTATCTTGTATGTATTCCAACATACAGCCCAAATGTTGGAGATGTGGCAATAATGATGCGACATACTTTCATATTTGGTGGAATTGTAAAAAAGTAAAGGCTTTTTGGATTATGATTTGGTGGAACATTCAAAAGATTTTTAGAAAGAAGATAAAGTTTACTCCTCAACTATTTTTACTTGGTATTTTTGTTGACTTAAATGAAAAAGAAACTACTTTGATGTTGAATTTATTAACTGCAGCAAGGTTACTAGTAGGTCTATATTGGAAGAAAGATTCTTTGCCTACTTTAGAAGAATGGATATTTAAAGTATCTAGTTTTGCAGAAATGGCAAAAATTTCTGCTTATTTAAAGGATCATACACAAGAAAGATATATTACTGTATGGGGAAGGTGGATAGATTATATTCAGAAAAAATATGGAATTAAAAAGTTTTATTTATTTTATGAATGAATATCAAATATTATAGAGAATTGTTTTATAAGTTATGGAGTTAAAGGTTAATTATGATATTTTTTTCTTTCTCTTTTTTTTTCTTTTTTTTAATTATTATAATTTTCTTTTTCTTTTTTTTTCTTAACCCTGTATTCTGCTCTGGGAAGTGAAGGGAGGGGGGGTGGGGGTGGGAGGGAGGGTAAGGGGGGGTTCTCTATTTTAAAATTTTATTGTATTTTTATAAATGATTGTATGTTTTAAAAAATAAAAATTTTCAATAAAAAAAAAAAGAAAGCATCTGATTCTATTCCACACAGCTGGATTATGAAATGTTTAGACGTTTTTGGAATTAGCAGCAACATCCAGAAATTCCTGAAGACTTCCATAAAGCTATGGTAAACTGAGTTGATAGCCTATGGAAAAGAACTTCATGAATTTGAAATCAAACAAGAAATCTTCCAAGGTAACTCACTGTCATCTCTGTTATTTGAACTTCCGATGGCACCACTAACAAGCGTTTTGAATAAAATAAACTGTGGCTTTGAATTGGCTAACAAAGGGTTGGAAATTTCCCATCTCTTCTACATGGATGATTTAAAACACGAAAGCTGAATTGAGCTCAATGCTGAAAAACACTGAGGAATTTAGCAGAGACATTAAAACGCAATTTGGCATTGACAAATGTGCAACAATTGCTGTTAAGGCAAGAAAAATTGTTTTAAATGATGAATTCGTACTTGATAATGAAGAGTTGATAAAAGCAGAAATACCTAGAAGAAGGGTACAATTACTGAGGAGTTTTGGAAGCCTCCGACCTATTGCAAAACCAAGTCAAGGAAGCTACTTCAACAAAATACATAAAGTGAATCCGGAAAATCTTGAGATCAAAGCTACGTGGAGGAAATACTATAAAAGTAATTAACACCTGGACAGTACCTGTAATATGATACTCAGCTGGAATAATTGATTGGACTCAGTTAGAACTTGATAACTTGTATTAAAAGACAAGAAAACTAATGACAATGCACCATGCTCAGCACCCAAAAAGTGATATTGATTGATTGTACTTACCTAGATCTCGGGAGGGCAGAGGACTTTTATAGGTAAAACAAACTGTGGAAGAGGAAAAACACCGCTTAAATGACTACATAAAAAAGCAAAAGCCTCTGCTGAGGGAGGTGAACAAGGGAAACCTCTTGAAAACAAAGAGATTGAAAGCAGAATATCAAAAAGAAACAACTGATCATCAAGTCTCTAACTGGAAAAAGAAGCCTATGCACAGTCAATAACTGAAGGACATTGAAGAAAAGGTAGATACAAAGCTACATGGAGATATTTGAGATAAGGGGTGCTGAAGAAAGAAACTGAAGGTTTCAATTTGGCTGCCCAAGAACAAGCCCTGCAGACAAATTCCATGAAAGCAAAAATTCAACATCAGTAAGCAAATACCACCTATGCAAGAGGAAGATGAAACAGTGGATCACCTTATCAGTGGATGCAGCAAAATCTCAGAAACTGATTATCTACAATATAATGATTAAGTTGCCAAAATTATATTGGAAGCTTTGCCAGAAGTTTGGGTTTGAATGCAGCAAAAATTACTGGGAACACCAAATTGACAGTTCTTAAAAATGAATAGATTAAGATCTTGTGGGAATTTTGAATCCAAAGAGACAGACATCTGACCCACAACATGTCTGACATCACTATTGTGGAAAAGAAAAAAGTCTGGTTCATTGATATTGCAATACCAGGTGATGCACGAATTGAAAAGAAACAACCAGAGGAAAAAATAACAAAATACTGCGATTTGCAAATTGAAGTTGAGCGATTGTGGAAGAAGAAATCAATGGTTGTACCAATAGTAATACGAGCCCTTGAAGCAATACCCAAAGGACTGCCTAAATATATGGAAATTTTGAACTTATCAGACCTGAATATTCTGACTTTGCAAAAAAACTATCTTACTTGGAACTGCCTATATATTTAGATATTACCTTAACAGTTAGAACTTGAATTGTTATGGTTTTAACAGTTCCAGTGTAAATCGAAGATTAAAACTTAAAAAATGATAACGATGAAGATGATGATGATGACTGTTTTACTATTTATAATTTGGTTTTTAAGGACTGTTGTATGGTGCCTAGAGTCACTTGTTTGTGGGATGGGTGGGTATATAAATTTGACAAGTAATAAATAAAACATTGGTTGAGTATTTATACTGAAGATTAGAAAATATATGGAAACACTTTAGCATGAACTTGAGAAAGGAAGAATATCAGTACTTAAACAGAAATATACCTACCTGCCATAAACTTTTTCTTACCAGTTTTTCAATTACTTGTTGCCAAAGCAGTGGACTGACAAAAGTATCCATAATTTTTTTACAAATAGATACCATTTTCTGGTTAATAGTCTTTTCATCTATGGAAAATGAAATAAAAGAAGTTTAAACATATCAAAAGCATAACCTAAACTAATGGTAGATTTAGGTTTTATTTAGAGAGAAGGAAAATGCTAAAAACTAGAGATAAAAAAGTTATACTGTATAAACAAGCTAGACTTTACACAGGATTGCACATTTTGTCTAAGAATCTTTATGTTGCTATTCTCATGGTAAATTGTGGGGTTTTGGGGTTTTTTTGTTTTTTGTTTACTTAATCCCTTAATGCAGTGTGGAGTTAGAACAACTGAATAGACCTGAGCATTTACTGGCTGGATGCCCTTCTTGATTGTCTACATGGAGTTCACAACAGATATTTTCTTTGTGCCCCAAGAAACATCTGCCACTACCTAGGATTGAACTCTCAGTCTTCCGAGTGGGAGGCAAGTGTCTTCACACTAGGCCTAATCGTAGATTAATGCAGAAACAAAATCTGCTTAATTGTTACCCATATTTCAATTCTCTTTACAAGTAGCAGAATAAAGTAGGAATATGATGATTGAAGGACTATAACATACAATGGCAGTTATATGTTCAATGTTTCTCATACAGAAATAGCTACAAACAAGGAAACAAGCAATGATAGAGAGACAAGATCTATTGCAGTTTGTGTCTGTTGCTGTTCTAATCATAAGAAATTACTGAAGTAGGAGAGCACTGAAAACATGATTACATATAGTCCTTGACTTATGACTACAATGGAGCCCAGAATTTTGATAGTAAGTCACTGTGATTATAAGTTGAGGCATCACGGGACTGAATTTGACTTTATGACCATTTTTATGATAGTTGTGAAGCAAGTCTCTGTGATCATTAAGTTAATCATCTGGTTAAGTTAACCACATGGCTGTTCAATGTATTATGTAATCATTAAGTGAACCACATGACCATTAAACCGTGTAACCGTTAAGCAAACCACCTGGTTGCTAAGCAAATCTAGCATATCCAATGGACATTTTTTATTGTTTTTGTTGGGACCTAGATACCAATTGCCCCAAATGCCACCATATGACTGTGGGGAGGGGGGTGTTATCAGGAGTTGTAACTTTAATGACAGGTTGTAATTAAAGTCTGTTGTAACTTCGAATGATAACAACCAGTTTTAAGTCCAGGACTTAAATGAACATAAATGGTATCAATTCTATAACTTCATTCAACACTTCACTTATAAGAGAGACAGAACTAACTCATGGAAGATATGAGTTTAGGGCTCATATAATCTCCAGTACCTTAAGCAGCAAAAATATGTTTTTCCATTTCATATATAGCTTATGTACATAGCAATGTACAGCATTTCTAAGTATGCACCAAATGTAAAATGGAACCATCTACAAAGTCACCAATTTGAAAAAACTTTCCAATGCAGATACACATCCTTGAAATTACTACTGCACGGTAGCTCATCTAGGATCAGGTAAAATCAGATTAGGACTGTGTAAATTTCAAAGGAGCTGTCTGAAGCTTTTGAAGCAAACTATTAATTAAAATGGTGCATCTTTCGAAGTGCTAGATCAGAGTGACGAAGCCTCTCTGATCCAGATCCTAAAAAAGCATTTCTGCACATACCGGTAGATCCCTAGCCAGAAGACTGAAATAGTCAAGTAAACAGTCAACCTGAGACCTAGGACTTGATTTCTAATCAAAGTGAGTTACTCACAAAACAATGGAAATGGAATTACCAAATATATAAAAAGTGTGTGAAAATCACTATTTGGGAGACAGAAAGTTCCATTATAATGTCTGCTTTTTTTCCCACCAAAACATGCCAATTCTGCTATTTCAGGGATTGTTTGTTAGTATGGAAACATATTTTCTACAACAGGAAGTACTATTTCACATGTGATGTTTGGTGCATTCTGGACTAAAAAGCTGCAAATTCCATATCTGGATATGTGAGTTTTGGTATGGATATGTGCGTTTTGCATAAAAGTATAAAGTATGCTTTTTTTTAAAAAAAGGCATACTATTTTCTATGAATAGATATAAAGCTGTATTATAAAAGTTAGATTGTTATTAACAATAAAGGCAATATCTATTATACCTTTTCCCTTCCAAAGCTGATACTTTTATCATTTCTCAAAACAAAATATCCTTCCTATTACTTACTGTTAATAGTTGAGAAAGTACCGATTATCAAATCAGAAATTTGATTGATTGGAATTTGATCTGATGAAGTCTGGAGAACAGTCAAACCTTGGTAAAACCTTTCTGCTGCTTTTAGGGGTTTTGACAATTTAATCAGAGAGTAACCTGTTCTGTAGTATCCCTAGAAAGAAAGGAAAAAGAGAATTCAAATGTCAGCATTCGTCTTTAGTAACACAGATCCAAACAATTTAGGAAGAACAATTTCCCATAAACCATATTAATGTATTACACTAATAACAAAAACAAGCTCTTAGCCAATCAATAGCTTGTAAAACTGAAATACTACAGTTAAAGATAGTTAAGTCAAAAGTCACTTTCTATAACTTACATTGTTCAAAACAATTCTACAAATTTCAAGGTAATATTGTAAATTTTCAGACCCATACCAAACTTTAGATACTGTAGCACATACACATGTATCATTAAGATATTTTTAAACCTTACAATTAGTAGTTTGAGTTATAAAGAAACTCCACTATGAAGTTTCTGTGTTCTGAATTATATAAGAAAGTGTGCCAGCTCTGTTTAAAGGTAGCCCTAGAGCAGTGGTTCTCAACCTTTTTATACCGGCGACGCCGGTCATAAGGACGCGCCGCGCATGCACGGCATGGCACGCATGCACAGTGGCACCCCTGTGTGTGGCGCACATGCGTGGCGGTGCCCCATGCGCGGCGTGCATGCGCGGCAGCCCATGCGCAGCGCACATGCGCGGTGCCGCCAGCTGAGAAAAAAATGGCGGATCGCGTTGTTTGGCGACCCCTGCGAAATGGTCGTTCGACCCCAAATGGGGTCGCGACCCACAGGTTGAGAACCGCTGCCCTAGAGTTACATCTATAATGGAGCCTGCCCATTACAATTGTAACTTGTGAGGCTGAGGTTAGCCATGTGACCAACCAAATTTTAAAATTTTGCAACATTTTTTACAGCAATTGTTAAGCCAACATCGAAGCAATGAGTGAACTAATGATTCACTGTGGGCATAGTTTTCCGAAAACTGTTAAGAAAATGCCAGTTTTCTACAAAACTGCTATGAAGGGACATTTGACTGCAGGATGTTGTAAACAGCTGTAAATGCAGCCCAAATGTAAGTGCCCAAAGTGCAGCCAAGTGACTGGGTAGAACTTCAAAGCTGGGTCACCTCTCAGATAGATCTGTTGAAACTCCAAATGGTTGTTAAGCAACTGGTTGTAAATCAAAGGCTACTTTAACCAGTTATTTTAAGATCCAAGATACCAATAAATATCACAAATTCTTCCTTATTTATTCCATTTTGTCAAACATCATAGAAATTCATCTATTCTTATATTTTATTTTAAAACAGAACAAAATATGCTGTAAAATGCTTACTATTCCAATATTCAAACACTGGACTTTTTAAAAGAAACATTCAGCACTGATTTTAAAATATACCTTAATATAAGTTGCATCCCATTTCAGGCAGTCTTCTGCTGAGTAATAAGCCTCATGCCATTTACCCAAATTGTAAAAAGCATTTGATCTATTGCAGAACAATACTGCTATGTCTCGATTGCACGGAACCCTATTAAGGGGAAATGGGAGAAGATTTTAAATGCAACTGCTTTGAGGAAACTGTTTTATGTAATAGTTTATACAGCACTCAATAATTGTATGGTATAGAAAAAACACATCTATCTAGAAGACTTTTCTAAGAAAGGGGGGGAAATTAACTGCTTTTATGTTTTCAGCTATATAAGTCACTATGAGAATGATATGGGCTGTATTTAAAATTTAATAAATAAATAGGTTCATGGAGTCAAAAGGTCAATCAGGTAATTTGGCAAATAAATGTTGCTTTCAATATATATGGATGTCCATATACATATATATGTTGTTGTTGTTGTTAATTGCGAAGTCGTGTCCGACCCATCGCGACCCCATGGACAATGTTCCTCCAGGTCTTCCTGTCCTCCACCATCTTCTGGAGTCTATTTAAGTTCACACCTACTGCTTCAGTGACTCCATCCAGCCATCTCATTCTCTGTCGTCCCCTTCTTCTATTGCCCTCAATCTTTCCCAGCATTAGGCCCTTCTCCAGTGAGTCCTTCCTTCTCATTAGGTGGCCAAAGTATTTGAGTTTCAACTTCAGGATCTGGCCTTCTAAAGAGCAGTCGGGGTTGATCTCTTCTAGGATTGACCGGTTTGAACGCCTTGCAGTCCAAGGGACACGCAGGAGTCTTCTCCAGCACCATAGTTCAAAGGCCTCAATTCTTTGGCGCTCAGCCTTTCTTATGGTCCAACTTTCACAGCCATACATTGCAACTGGGAAAACCATGGCCTGGATTATACGCACTTTTGTTGGCAGGGTAATGTCTCTGCTTTTTAGTATGCTGTCTAGATTTGCCATAGCTTTCCTCCCCTGGAGCAAGCGTCTTTTAATTTCTTGGCTGCAGTCCCCATCTGAGGTGATCTTGGAGCCCAGAAAAATAAAATCTGTCACTACCTCCATTTCTTCCCCATCTATTTGCCAGGAATTGAGAGGGCCGGATGCCGTGATTTTGGTTTTCTTAATGTTGAGTTTCAAGCCAACTTTTGCACTCTCCTTCTTCACCCGCATCAAGAGGCTCTTTAGTTCCTCTTCACTTTCTGCCATTAGAGTGGGATCATCTGCATATCTTAGGTTGTTGATATTTCTCCCGGCAATCTTAATTCCAACTTTTGATTCATCTAGCCCTGCCTTTCTCATGATGTGCTCTGCATATAAGTTAAATAGGCAGGACGACAGTATACAGCCTTGCCGGACTCCTTTTCCAATTTTGAACCAATCAATGGTTCCGTGTCCAGTTCTCACTGTTGCTTCTTGACCCGCGTATAGGTTTCTCAAGAGACAAATGAGATGGTCTGGTACTCCCATCTCTTTAAGAACTTGCCACAATGTGTTGTGATCCACACAATCAAAAGCTTTTGCATAGTCAATGAAGCAGAAGTAGATGTTTTTCTGGAACTCCCTAGCTTTCTCCATGATCCAGCGTATGTTGGCAATTTGATCTCTAGTTCCTCTGCCTCTTCGAAATCCTGCCTGTACTTCTGGTAGTTCTCGATCCACATACTGCTGGAGTCTAGCTTGTAGGATTTTAAGCATAACTTTACTAGCATGTGAAATGAGTGCAATGGTGCGATAGTTTGAACATTCATATATATACTAATTTGTATAAACTGATATAACATATTTCATTTAAATGAGATGTACTAAGTTTACTGATTACACTTCTCTGAGCATCAATTCAATTCTAAAAAGATCTTTGAATTTGCTTGGACTGTCTAAAGGAAAAATGTTTTCCCAGGAAGGGAAAAGTTGCACCATCAGAAGCAAGTCTTTGTATCAGAAGATATACAATTGAGGATATACATATAAAATACCAGAACCCTTCTAATGGTAGTCACTGTGAAAGCAGAGCTTTGGGAATTGGTCATCAGAGGCATCCCAGATTATGCAGCAAATTAAATGGCAGACAAAGTCACTACTGCAAGGGTCTGTCAAATCACTTCTCAGAAGCGGACTCCATCTCCTTACTTTGGAGTAAAGAATAATTTAAATGTAATACATTTAAAATAAATAAGGCTTTGTGTGCTATCTTTATAATGCCTTTCTTTCCAAGTTCAAAGTTCAAAACCTTTTGCCCAGTCACTTACTGCACAAGCTCTGCAAAAAACTATGGAAATTTGTTTTCCATAGGCATTCCAGACTCTCTACATAAAAAAAAAATCTAAGAAAACAGTAGTATTATTTTATATCTTCCTTATATATTTCAAATAGAGCCTCATAAAACTCAAACAATTGGAAAAATCTTTCTAGATACATTCTAGTCTAAGATCTTATTAAAGTATTTGATTTATTTCCAAAGAATGACCAAAGTAATTATATATTTATAAATTATATTACCTGACTTTTTCATTATTAAAAAAGAATTCCAAAATGGGAATATACAGAATTATAACTAATATTATTTTACAGAATAGCAAGTGTTGTAACAGAAACTACAAATAAGAAAAGCAGCACTACAAATTCAGCAAAATGGGTGAAAAAATAAATCTTCAGCTAATGCACCTTTAAGGCCCCTTTTTTGGATAACCATAAAGCAAATTTCAAACTTAAAGCACCATGTATTATCTCTTTCATTGTAGGAGGGAGTTAACCTTGCTTTCCAGTGGGATGCTGTGTAAGGACATACAAATCATTAGCCAGGCAGGTGTTCTCACACAGACACACACACACACACACAAACAGAGCAAAGATTCCTTCAAGTCAACTCCTGTTGTTATCATGGACTGATCCTGTAGTTTCCTGGGCAATAATATAGAAGGATCATGCCACTTGCCCTCCTGCAATTTCTTTTAATATTGAACTATCTAAATAAAGAAAAATAAATTTTATTTCGTATAACCTGCTTACATAACCTGCTAAAATATCTTCTAGAAGACACTACTCTGATTTCTAAATACTTTGCCTAAAACTCTTCAAGGAATTACACAACTGGCAATCGTCTTGTGATTTGCTTATATCAAATAGACAAATGCGTTAATTAATTCTTCTATATATTAGTAAGAATGTTTTCAAAATGATAATCTAACCTTATTGTGAATATATAAAAAAATATCAAATAGCTAAACAATTAACAGCAATCATCTGAATAACTCTCTAATATATAATTTTATTAATGAAAGAGATATCAGCTCAAGGACTCAGCACAGAACTGTTAATTATTTAAAGAAAAAAATACCCCGTGGCACTGAAGAAATGAAGTATTATGTGTATTGCTTCATCGTATTTTCTGATGGCAAGAGAATAGTTTCCACTTTTGAAATCATGATTTCCTTGAGCTTTCAGATATTCTGCATAAGTGAGGGGATCTCCAGGGTTGAGAGAATCCATTCTGACAAAGAGGGAGAAAAGACAATTTTCAGTTAACTGAAGAAGCAGCCTTTTATAAGCAACACACTTATATTTAACAAGTGATTCCATTACCAACAGAGGCACCAGAATATAGACATAATTTGCCAGATACAACATAAAAGCAATGCTTTCCTAATAAGACTGAATAGTAATACGAATCCAGTAATCAGTACACTAGAATAACTAATTTCTTTTGAAATCAAAGTATAATTGCATTTGCTCCTGAAAACTATGTCAAAAAGTCTATTTAAATAAGGACAATTTTTGAATTCAAAAATAAAATAAGTTTTGATTTATTCAGAAGGCATAGGTAGGTAGGTAGGTAGGTAGGTAGGTAGGTAGGTAGGTAGGTAGGCAGGCAGGCAGATTTCTACAAAAGATATAGTTACTAAATGACTTATCTCTAAATGTACTGACTATTCACATTGTTTTAGGCCATAGTTTATTTAATTATATTTTGCTGAAGGAACCATAAGTTTAGTCTTATTATGCACTATAATAAAACATTTTTACAAAGGAGGACTTAGTTTACACATTGCGTACTTTGCTGAAGAAATCATAATAAGCTAACTTTTATCATATACTACAATAATGCAATTTTATAACAAATGAGGACTTAGTTCACACACTGATCTAAAAAAACCAAATCAAACTACTGCCACATGTGAATCTCTACATAAAATTAACAGTATCTTTGGGAGATGTTAACATAGGAGCCCATTCAAAAATATAGAGAGGGAGACATATTCTGAATTGATAAGTCTCTTGAGTGCTGCATATTTTATTCCAGCTGCTGTTTATGTGTTGCCTTTGTTTTTCTGGTTTTTTTAATGTTTAAATATTGTTAGCCACCCAATGTCACTAATATGAGATGGCTGGCCAAATAAATGGAATAAATTATAAAACCTAAAGTCATGCTTCAGTAATAGGATAACCTAACCCTATTATAACCCTAACCCTATTACTCCTTATAATAAAACTGAAGTCCACAAACATACAACCAAACGTACTCAAATGTTTTGAGATTTTACAAAATACCAGTATTTTCAGCATTTAATTAAAAAATAAAATAATTGGCCATATTACTTACAAAGCCATCAGCTGGCTTGGGCTAGGAACAGCTATTTTTTCACTAGTTTATCTAAATATAAATAATTTAAGGTCCTTTGCTGAAAAGAAAGCTAACAAAAACAGAATCCTGCTAATCTCTTTTTCCATATTTTTAAACAATAAGATAATCCACTGATATTACTGAATAATATTTGAATACATTCACAGAATTGCTTCCTTTGATCAAATTTCAGATATTCAGAGCTATTTTTCTCAATTTTAATATGTACTTTAATAAAAAGCAGTAAAAAATTCTGTGCCAGATAAAATTGTAAGGTAAAATCTACCCAAGGAAAATTCTGCTCACATCACAAAAGCAACACAGATTTAAAAAAACAAGGGAATCTTCAAAATTTGGCTTCTAATTTTAATATCTGGAAAAAGAAGTTCATGCATCTATAGTGCATTTAGCTAATAATAATAATGCTTATATTAAGTTTGTGATAATATAAATTTTTTAGCTGATCTTCTATTGTTAGTCAAAATAGATAAAATCCAGCAGTATAAACCCCATTAGAGCAGCGGTTCTCAACTTATGGGTCGCGACCCCATTTGGGGTCGATCGACCATTTCACGGGGGTCGCCAAGCAAGGCTGTCCGCCATTTTTTCCCCTTTTCAGGCGGGTGCCTTACCTCCCTTGGGCTGGGCCAGCTGGTGGCCCAGCCGGTGGTCGGCCTGTTCCATCTCTGCCGCTTGCCAGCCACACCTCGGCCGGCGCAGGGGGCGGCACCACGCATGCATGGTGCTCCCAGGCAGGGAAAGTCCTCAACTTATAACCGGTTGAGTCCTCGACTTATGACGGGTTTAGTCCTCGACTTACAACCGGTTGGGGATCGCGGCATTAAAAAGGTTGAGAACCACTGCATTAGAGGCTGAATAACTCTTTGGTATGATTACTTGGAAATTTCTGAAGCTGTTTATTTTGGCTTCTACGAAGTTTTGTTTGGGATTGATATGATATGTTCAGCCCTTAAACATGCATAAGTATGTAGTGTTTTATTTATAATCATTCAGCAACTAACCCTAATATTTTACATATTGAGCTGATTATCAAGAACAGTCCTATGACTCTAGCTCTATAGTGTATATCAGTGGTGGCAAACCTATGACACAGGTGCCAGAGGCAGCACTCAGAGCCCTCTCTCTGGGCACATGCACCATCGCCCCAGTCCTAGGCCTTCAGCTGGGTTTTATAAAACCTTTTTGCTTTAGGCCTCCGCCGCCGTGTGCAAAAAAAAAAAAAAGGTTCAATCAATCAGTCAATTTCAACTTCTCACAGGGAAAAAAAGATCTTGCAAAGTTGGGATTGATTGAACTTTTTAGTCCCACCCAGTCTGCCATTATCACCACAGCCATGCCCACCCAATGGGCCACACCCAGCCACACTCACCTGGCACCCGACAATGCATAAGTGGGTTTTGGGTTGCAGTTTGGGCACTCGGTCTCTAAAAGGTTTGCCATCACTGGTGTATATTAAAAATGGTTGTTTTTTTCGTTGATTATATCCCTAATATTTGGAATCTACCAATAAATGAGGAATTGTGGTGTTTTTTTTAGGCACTGGAACTAAGTGAAATAATTAAATGCTAAGAAAGGGAATCTACATATTTATAGCAATAAATTGTTGATATATGGGTTGCTTATAAACATATAGATTTGTTTAAAATGTCCTAAGGAGTAAAGGAAGAACATTTTGGAATAATGTAAAAATTTGATAACATACAATCTTTTAAATTTTGAAATTAATATATTAATAATCTTGTGCATAATAGTTTTTCTTTATATTTTGGATCATAGATTCATTTAGTTTGCTCAAATTCAGTCCGCAAAAGTTAAGGAACAGGTTTCTATGATTAGAAAAAAGTATTATCTAATGTAAATCATGTTAATCAATCTTTTTTGAAGTAGAGATTTTCATGAAGTTGAATGCTGTGCCTATACAATAACTGTATACAGAATTTGGGCAGCAGCTTAAAGCAGGTTTATTGTTGTTTTAAGTATAGTTGTTTAATACTTTAATTACTCTTGGTATAATAGAGAGCTTTTTTGGCTATTTTTTAAATTGGGGATGATTTTTTAAAAAAAACCTTTTAAGCTGCCAGAGTCACAGAAGTGAGATGAGTGACTACATAAATTTAATAAACAAATAAATGATATAGTTTTTATATGATGCACATTGCTCATTTTCTTATTCTACAATTCCTCCTTTTCCTTGGATTTATGCAATCATTTGTAAACCTTTGTTTCTGGCAAGGTTGCTGGTATATTGGAAGATCAGCAGAAAATGTTGTTTCTAGACACTGCTATCCAGTTTTTTTGTAAAAAAAAAAAAAAAAAAAGGTGCCAGAACTCATACATGTCATACAACTCGCCTTGCCTATCCTACAAGGTTCCATTCAGAAAAAGTGCCGGAACTCCGTTCTGGGCGTTCTATGACAAAAAAAAGCCCTGCTGCTATCACAGTCAATACTAAAAATGAAAGAGTATAAAAATTTTTAAATGCTCTTGTTTTTATAGCATAACAATAAATTTTTAAAACGATACAAGTTATGGCTTCTAAGACATTTTAGATAATATCCAACTCTAGACAATATTACTTACACTGTTTGGCTTCATTGCATTAATTATAAGCAACAAATAATTATAGTTTGAAATAATGTAAAGAACACCTGTCACTTCTGTATAAGAAATACAAATATAATTATTAATACTATAATTTTGTACAAAAAACAAGTATAGGTTTTATTTTGATACTACAAATTATAAATGATATATCCCAAGTTAAACTCAACATTTGGTTTGAAATTTCCTTTAGAAAAGAAGTTTCTTAACACTTAGCTTAGTTTTGAAGGCAAACAGTGTACATTTTTAGAGTTGCTTCCCAAATTTCCAACATTTTTCTAATCTTATATATCAATCTGTTGCAACCAGGTCACTATCATTTCAATACAAAGTACATTATGAAATACAGACCAAGATTTATATAGGCTTTCTACATCATGATGTCTGATCTTGAGAAGGGAATAGGGATCAGATTTCTCTGCCAATTTTTCTTCCAGGTATTACCATCATTCAAAAAACAATACACAGTTGCACTAGCTCTCCCTTCATGAATGATTTTCTGTGGTTAAAAATAAAAGGCACAAAAATAATATATATATGTAATTACATATATATATATATGTAATTACAAATGTACATTAGTGGTATAATTAAAACAGTAAGTTTATGTATGCATGTATTTATGCAGGTATGTATATGTGCATATATGGATTTTCCTCTTAAGGACAGTATAATTATTCAAATTAAAACAAAACTTACAAATTGAGACATTCAGATTCAGATTCTCTGCAGTTATAGAGTCACTGGATGACTTTGCACTAGTCATTTTCTTTATAGCCCAACAACCCACAAGATGATGGTTGTACAAATAAATGAAAGCATAATTCTCTGTATGTGATTCAAACCAAAATCTTTGAAAAATTGAGATATAACACTGACAAATTAAATAAAGTGGTAATGTTCCCAGAACGAGGCAGAATAAAAGTCACATCTAGAAGAACGACAAAAGGCAATTATATGAAGACTTGAGATAAACTCATATTAAATTTGATTAAAATACCAAATAATCACAGAAATAAAAGAAACTGATGACCAGTTATGTGTCTGGACAAGAAAAGTCCGGCTCAGCAAAGGTTATGCTACATTCGTTTTTTATTAAACCAAAATCAAACGAACCACACACTGGCTCTCAGTATTGGGCATAACCCAATTATTCTCCAAAATGGCAAATCCAAGCCATTTGAAAGTGTGCACGTAAGTCACTTGCTCGGTAATTAGTCTGACACGGATACGGGTAAAAAGAGAAAAGCTTTTAATTTTTACAGAACTCGTATTTGCTTGTCTGCAAACTTGGATCGGGGTTTTGCAATTCACGTTTTCCAAAGCAATCAAGCTAACGGTTCCCCACCTACCATAATTATTACATTTCTGAAGAGGGTAGTTTGAAAAGCAGACATAACGCCATATTTTTCAAAAGTCACCCACGAGGTTCTTGGCAAGTGCTAAATATTCCGCTGTCTTTCCTTCTGGGCGTATCTTTCTGTTCCAAAGCAAAACGCCTATTCAATTCCACTCGCTGCAGAAAGCACTGTGCTGTTTGCCGTCTTTTAAACTGTGTAAAAAGCAACTCTACTCGCTTTGTACTGGTCAAATTTCTCCCGCACACCGCGGACAATCCTTGGTTCCCACGCAGGAGTTTTGCTCTATTCGGGTACATCTGCTCAAAGACAGTTGTATTCCCCCCCCCCCGCCGACCAGACAATACACCTCATACAACTCTAACTTAAATACCCTTCTCCAGAAATTCATCCCACCTCATTACTGCGCTCAGCGGAGCTAAAACTCCAGAGAATCCCAGGACAGTTTTCGGTGGCCACTGCATCTAGTACTCAATTCTAGATGCGTCAGCTGTAAATTCCACAAGTTTAATCAAACTTCCTCAACTGAACTCAGAAATGCGCATTCCACTCTTAATAAGAGGCGCTTAATACAGCAAACTTTAAAGAAAGAAGGCAGCAAAAGTAAACGCCAGAATTCCCTTACAAAGAACACGCACAACCTACCTGCAAACCACCGTTTCCTGCTCCCTAAGGACCCTAACTAGACACGGGACAGCGTCTTCATCCCACTCCCTCCAACCTTCTTACCTGAAAGCACACCACCAAAGCTGCCTGCAGAGGCAGCATACAGGGCAGGTATCCGCAAGTGCGCGGCATAAACCGCAGTCCCTGATCAGCTGCTGTCCGTCCACCACATCGACTTACTGCCAAAATCGCGCAGGTTTCCCTTCCGCGCATAAAAGTATCAGCTGCTGACGTTGGCCGCCCCATTCATAGCAACGTCATTTTGAGGAAACAGGCGGGTCTTTTCCAATTTGCTGCACTCGCCTGCCATTGCTGCCAGCCAAGTGGCGTTTTCTTTGCAAAAACGAAACTAACCCAAACTTCCTTTTTCCAGTCTGATGCCCTTTCGTTGCTTTCATAAAGGAATACAAGAGGAAAAAGAACTTTCTATCCTGAATGTATTTTTTCTTTGACATATTGGATGTTTATATAGGCTGGGTTTACACGAAACACAAATGAATCAATCATAACTATCAGCCTAATCTGTTGGGAAAATCTATCCTAATAAATGTCTGAGGTTGAGTGGTAGTTGGAAGGCAGCAAACTTGAATAAGCCTTGAGTGATATGCTCATCATAAGCCATATGATGTGGAGAGAACCAATGGGTTAGATCCAAACCAGTCATTCCTGTACTGGAATTTATAGTCCCATTGTGCAAAAATAATAGTAAGCTGGACAAATTTTACATAACTACACTGATGGCTGAGTGAGATTACAGAGTCACTATAGCATTGGTGTAGAATATCTGTTGACTTATTTTGATAGGTATATGCATGGCACTGGTTGGTCTCATAATTGCAGATGTTGTAGAGTTATTGGCCTCATTTCATTTAACTGTGGAGCACTTTTTCCCCTTTCTCTTAAAATGATATCGCATGTCCCATCAATCGGGATTTAGTCTACTGGGATCAAGAAAATAAGAATTTTCTCTGGCAGCACTTGCCCTCTGTATCACATCACCTAAGATCTGGCTGATCCTGACTCAACTATTATTCCAGAAAGTCTTAAAAACATGCTGCTTTCCAGATATAGGTTTGGGAGGTTTAACAAAGCCAATGAAACAAATTGAAATGTAGTAATTACTGTTATTGTTGTGTCCTGAGCCTGCAAAAGCAGGCTCAGGACATTGCTATGGTCCCGGGGTTGCTGCAAGCTGCCCGGGACCAGACTGAGCGGTGCCAGCCTTGCGCGCATGTGCAAGGCGCAAAACCGCGCCATTATCTGTAACCATTTTTGCCTGGGGATCCAGACACAAAAGCAGAGACCTGCAAGTCTCCCGGTTGTTGTTGGAGTGAGCAGAAGGAGAAATAAAGAGTTGTTGATTCAACCCTGTGTGATCTTCATTCGCCATTAAATGAAGGACTTAACACTGGCAATGAAGGTGGGATTGCTTGCAAGCTTAAAGAAGAAAAGCTGTAAGACTTACCCAAGGAGTCCTTGAAGAAGGGGGGACGGTGTTAAACTCAGCATTCTAGCTTGCCAGTACAGCATCGCTGGAGGTAACCTCTGCTGATAGATTCTTTCCCAAGCAAGAAGCAAGTATGGCGAAGATAGGTTGTTGGAATATTCATGAGCAGGAAGAATCATGTGGTAACCCAGTCAGCCAATGTGAAGAAAGTGCTACTGAGTCTGTGCAAAAGAGTATTGAGTTAGGAGCTGAATTTTCAGTCTCAGGTTTGTCTCTGTATCTCTCTGTAAGAAGTCTTCAATTGAGTTATGTTGGTGTAAAGAAGAATGTATGATATTGTAAATATTTTTATATAAATATAAAGAAGTTATTTTGAATCAGCTAAATGGAATCAACTGTGAGAGCTTCTGATTTATTTTTTCACCAATAGAGAAATTAAAATTCTCTAACAGGTTATGGGCCCAGAGCTTACTAAGGACTGCATTGTAATTTAAAGCTGGAAGAAATTGCCTGTGTTTAGAAAGTATAAGAACAAGGCAGAATTAGCAGAATGGCTGCAATGGAATTTAAGGAAAGCTGTGTGCTGCTAAAATGGAATGTTTGCTCAAAGCTAAAGAGCTGTGGTATATTGTAGAAAATCCACCACAAGTATTTGCAGTTGCTGATCAGAAGAGTCATGATCAAGCAATGGCTTATCTCATCTTGAATTTAGATGATGAACAATTTCTAAATGTTGCAAATTTAAAGACTGCAAAGGAGATTTGGTTGAAGTTGAGAGCTGTGCACGTGAATGTTTCTGCATGCAATATAGTGCAATTGTCAAGAAAACTTTACAGGGCCTGTTTACAACCAGGTGAATCTGTGGAACAGCATTTAAATAAAATGCAAAGTTTATTTTTGGACTTAGAATAATGTGGGATTAAATTCCCTGAGTCCCAGAAGGTTTTATTGGTGTTGAACAATTTAGATAAAACCTGGGACACAGTTTCTGCCATATTTGAGTGTAAAGAAGAGCAAGACTTAAATTTTGAGGCTTTAAAGGCATGTTTGCTTAATGAACAAGAAAAGCGCCATTTTAGAAGCAGCCACGAGGAGGTGAAATTCCTGAGGAGGGGGTCCAGACTGCAAGTCTCCGAAGAAGAAACATTTTGCAGGCAGAGATCTAAGCAAGAAAAGAATTGCTACATTTGTGGAGCAAACAACATCTGAAAAGGAACTGTTTGCAAAGGAACAATTTGCAGCAAAGGACATTTGTGCAACCAAAAAGGACTGATTTGCAAAACGAACATTTGGGTGTTGCAAAAGTTTGCTATAGCAACAACAGAGACAAGTGGCTAATATATAGTGGGGCAAGTCAAACAATTGTTAATGACTCTGAATTATTTTGCAGGTTTGTTCCAGTAGCACAAGAAGCTGTGGCTTTGGCAAATGGCCAGAAAGCAAAAGTCATTGGAAAAGGCGATGTAAAAATTCCATATCTGGAATCAAAGTTTACCAATGTGCTTTGTATACCTTAGATGGAACATAATTTTTTAAGTGTGTCTAATTTAGACAAACAAGGTTTTGAGGTCATTTTTGTAAATGGGAAGTGTCTCATCAAAAGGAATGGGAATATTTGTGCAGAAGGCATAAAGGAAGATAATCTATATGTATTGCATAAAGGAAGATAATCTATATGTATTGCAGGGACAAAAGGTTCAATGTTCCCATATATTTAAGAATGTTGCAGAGCATGATTCGTGTGTTCATCTTCTACATAGAAGACTTAGCCATGCAAGCTTTAAGGTTTTGCAGCAAATGTAAGAGTTTGCAGAAGGGCTAAATTTGAAGGGATGCAAAACATATTTGGATTGTGCAGTATGCAAAGCATCGAAGTCAAAGGCATTCCCAGTTAGTAAATATAGCACAAGACAAACAAAAAGAGCTCTAGAGCTGGTCCATGCAGATCTGGTGGGACCTATGCAAGTCAGTTTGGGAGGAGCAAAATATGCACTGGTAATTGTTGAGGATTATAGCAGGTATTCGTTTTGCTACTTGCTTAGAGATAAGACAGAGGTGCTACAACAATTCAAACAGTGGGTAAGTTTTGTAGAGAGAAGGTACAGACAAAAAGTGTGTCAGTTGCAAACTGACAGAGGTACTGAATTTATGTCAACTAAATTCCAACAATGGTTGGGGCAGTTGGGGATAAGACACAGACGTACAAATCCTTACACAGCAGCAGAGAACGGTGTAGCTGAAAGAAGGAATGGTGTTTTGCAAACAATGAAAGATTCATTATTAGAGGATTCTGGTATGAGCAGGTCATATTGGGGAGAAGCCATATTGACTGCCAATTATATAGTTAACAGGCTGTGGAGTTCCTCCATTAATAATACTCCATATGCCATTCTATATGGGAGAAAGCCATCACTGGCACATTTGAGAATTTTTGGAAGTACTGCATGGATACATATTCCGAAAGCAATCAGAAGAAAGGGACAGCAAAAGGCAAGAAAGCCCAGGTTTGTAATTTCAAGGTCTGCTAATTTTGCAGAACAAAATTGGGACAGAATTAATGCAAATTCTGGGTATGTCTCACTTAATGACGGTGATCTATTTAATGACAATAACTCATCTAATGATAAAAAATGATTATTGAAGGTGTCAATGTTCAGGGAGGAGAGGCTGAACAAGACATGAAGCCAGATAGACTTGAGACACAGGAGCAGTTAATACCACGTGGGTCAGAGCGATGTAATAAAGGAATTCCGCCTGACAGGTATTCTGCCAGCAAGGTAAAGGTTTGCAATGTGTGGTATGAGCCAAGAAGTTATAAAAAAGTGTTGGCATTACCAAAAGCTGAACAAGAAAGATGGAAGGAGGCCATGGATAAAGAGATGAAATCCATGGAAGACTATGAAGTATTTAAATCAGTGACTTTGCCACAGGGAACCAAAGCTGTGGGTTGTAAGTGGGTATATAAGAAAAAGGTATTGCCAAATAATGATGTACAGTTGTTGCAAGATTTAAATATTAATGTAAAAGAATCTGTAAAGGTATTTGAAGACAATGCTGCCTGTATAAAAATGGCAACTGGTGACAGGGTGAAGAATAGAAGTAAACATGTAGACATTAAGTATTGTAATGTCAGAGAAGCTGTAAAAGGAAAATTGATTAGTCTACATCAGTGCTTCTCAAATAGTGGGGCGCGTCCCCCCTGAGGCTCCGTAAAGGGGGGCTCGTTTGACCTCGGCAAATACTGTCATATTGGATTTCTAGATCGGATCATCCGACTCACTCGCAAGCGGCGTCCCACACGGCATTGGTTGCCTAGCAACTCTAGAGCTGAAGAGAGGGAGCAGCGCGGCGCGAACACCGAAGATTGTCCCAGCACAGCCCCAGTAGCAGCCCGACACGGAGGACAACATGACCGCCAACGCACGTGACACATGCAAAGGACCCGATTGGATAGACATGATGCTCTATCCTGATTGGCCAAACCCGCCCTTGTGACTTTTAGACCCGGAAATCGATCCTCTGTACAGAAAAAAAAATTTTTAACAGGGATGAGAAGACAGGCGGAGAGAGAAGGAGAGAAGGAGATAAAAGAAAATCTTCCGAAGGCTAAGACGAGGAAATATGACGAGGCGTATGTAGCGCTTGGCTTCACTGTGACTATGGTGGGAGACGAGGAAAGACCGGTGTGCTTACTATGTCTAAAAATGTTGGCAGCGGACAGCATGAAGCCAAATAAATTAAGTCGTCACTTAAAGGCTTCTCTGCTGTTGCTGTTCTGAAAAGCAAATACAGGTCTCGGCTACACATTGAGAAGGAGCTGAGAGTTGCTGTGTCCTGCTTCAAACCCCGCTTCGA